TTCCCCTGGCAGGAGATTAGATGGGGCGCCCATTAATCACTCATTACTTGGGTCCTCACTGCTGGCCAGCCCTCAGGCAGCCAGCCAGCGGGTGGGGAGGGTGGGGCAGGCCCGCCTGCTGCCCAGCCCAGGCCCCAAGCTGCCCAGGGTCACCTTTCTGCGTCGACAGCCTGGCTCTCTGTCCTCTGGACCACGCCCAAGAGGAGAGGGCCGAGGGAGAACACCGTGGGGTACCACTGAAGGGACCTGCTTCTGCAGGGCTCACTGGAGGGGACAGCGATATGCACAGTGGGAAGATGAGGTAAAAACGGAAAGAGATGAGCAGAAAGAAACCACTCTTCCAGGATAGCTAGCCATCAGCAGAGAACACAGCTGCCCATCTGTTTCTGGGGTTCTTCCTTGAGGAATCTCAAGTAAGGGGAAGGGAGTGGGGTGGGGAGGGGATGTTGAATGGATAATTCATCATCATCATTATTATTATTATTGCACAGCTGCGGGTGTTGATTTGCTGGGTTGGAATATAAGTTTGCAATATTTGGCCCTTCCGACACAAACCCCTGGACTTGAGGGGGCCTGTTATGTGTGTGTGTATATATATATATTTATAGCACATGTATTGGGGGCCAACTCCCTGCCAAACCCTGACTGGGTACAGAGAAGGTAAGAGAAACAGGATGAGTACAGGCATTGAGCACCTACTCCATGCTGGGCCTCCCCCTAATGCTTGGGGGACCTGTCCACCCGTCCTCACACCAGCCCCCCAGGTTTTGGCCATCCCTCTGTCACACATGGCTGAAACTGAGAAAGGGGGCAAAATAAGAGCTTGTAGAACAAAGGAGATGTGTTGGTGAGCAGACCCCGCTCTGGGGAGGAAGGGGCGACTCACGAGGCCAGCAGGGAAGGGGGGGCTGGCACGGCATGTTCAGTCCTATTTGGGGGTCCCAGCCCGTTTTTTACCTCAGAAAACTTGGGGCTCTGGAACCAACCTACCTGATCCTTCTCCCTCAGCCTTGCTCAGGCCCAGAAATAAATTCACAAGGAGCCTGGTGGGGGCTGGGCTTGCGTACCTTTGCAGGGAGGGGATGGGGAGCATGCAGTTCAGGACTGAACTAAAGATCCCTTTGACTAAAACAGGGCTCTCTGTCTCTGCCTGGCTGGGGCCACGATGCGCCATTGCTCACTCCTTAGAGTCAAGGTCAAGGCCTCTGTTAAAAAAGGACACTGTGACCTGGGATAAAGTGGCTTATTAGCTCATCACCTGTCACTAAAACCTCGCTGTTAAGGCAGCCTAGGGCAGTGGTCCTCAAATCCAGCGTGTAGAACAACCAATCACTTGAGGCAGTCTTAAAAAAATGCCAATTCCCAGGCCCGGCCTCCACCCTGTAATCTGAGTGTCTTCCCAGCAGACCCTAATTCAGATTCAGACATTCCGCAGACAACCCTTTCAGGAAACAGAAAGATAATGTAAAGAGCACCTGACTTAGGGAGCTGGGTTCTAAGATTTAGGTTCAAAACCTGAGTTGTTGACCCAAGGCAAGTAAGCTGCAGTTTTCTTCCTTGTAAAATGCGGATTATACTGTCTCCCTCACAGGTTGCTGGGAGGATTAAGGCATCAGGCATAACACACCCCAGCGCTCACTAAACGTGACCTGAATGAGGTCATCGGGCCAGCGAGGCTCCAGAAACCAGAGAAGTCAGTTCTGAAGGGCTGGAGAGAGAAAAAAGGGCAACACAGGCCCAGAAGTGAGGAGGGATCCCAGCGTCAGCCCACGGGACCCACAGAGGAGGGAAGGGGCCGTTCCGAAGGAGGGCAAGAGTCCACAAGGCATCCTCCAGCCAGAGAGCATCCCACCGCGGCTCCTTCTTCCCGGCGCCCGCCCGTGTCACACTATGGCTCCTGGCCTAACACGGCTCATCCACTATTTTCACAGAGAAGAGTCAATAAATACGTATGGAACCCTTACATCCACGCAGATGTAAATACCTATCACAATTCTGCATGCACAGAAGAAGAGAGATAAACGGTTGGGGAAAGGGGAAAGAAGAAGACCAAAGGAAGGAAGGTCCAACCCAGTCGGGAGCTGGCCATGGCCTGGCACCGGGCTACACAGCCTGGAAGGGCTCAGGAAGGAGAAGCCCAGGGGCCAGTCAGGAGAAACTTCAGGATGCCTGGGAGATGAGGCTGGCCCACTAGGACATGTCAGGCTGCATATACAGTAAATGCAAAGGAGGCAGGGGAGCACTTCAGCTGGGTTCAGGGAGGACTGACACAGGCATGTGCAAGAGAGGCTGGGACACTTCCTGGCAGAACTGAATTTCTGAGCTGTGGTTAGAGCTCACACAAGACCATCATAAACACACTGGGTACATCAGGCAGGAAAGAGGTGGGCTGCTCTTGGATCAGCAGACTTGAATTAAGACAATTCCAATGCCCAGACGAAGACTGATCTTGGCCTTGTCTACCATGTCCATACCAGCACATTCACGTCGCTAGATCATTGCTCAATCTCTTCCCTCCGCCTGGCATTGCCCTCTCTACCTCCAGCCTTTCCCATCTCTTTGAACTCCTCCTCATGCCTCAAAGCCCAGCTGTAGTTTTCCTAGCTCCTCCCATGCAGAAAAATCCTCTCCCTCATCTGCGTCCCCAAGGTTCCGCATTGTTTCGTGGTTACTTTTTTTTTTTTTTTTTTACATCTTTTTCTCTCCCGGGTGGCTATCTATCATCTGTTAGCCTGTCAACAGATCCAGGGCACGGATATTGTCCTGTTCTGAGTTTAAGCCTCAGCACGTGGTAGCAGTCCCTAGAACACAGCAGATGCCCAAAAATATTGGTTGGAGAAGAATTAAATAGAAGTTAATCCTGGGAGCCATTGTAATTTCTTGAGCAGAATGATGTGGTGAAATCAGAATTTTAGGAATATTAACCTGTCAGCAGGAAAGAAGATGGATTAAAATGAAGAAAGTGATTCGTAGCTGGGAGTCAAGAGGGGAGATTATTACTGTAACCTGGACATGGTTTATGGAGGGGGCAAAGGGAAGGGAGACAGGAAAATGATCCCCTGCGATATCACAAAAGAATGTGGAAGGAACTCAGTAATGAGCGGGCTCTAAATGTGGGGGACGGGATGGGGGCATCGAGGGCATTCAAACACTGAGACTCCAGCCAATTGGGAGGCAAGTGCTGTGCAGAGAAATGCTGGGCGGAGAAGGGGGGTGGGTAATGCCCCATCACTCTAGGATAATTGGATGCAATGACAATAAGCATTTCTAGGCAACAAAACAAACAACCCCCCCCAAAAAAACTCTCAGTCAAAACATCCAACCCTGATCTTACTCCCAAACTCTGGACTGTATTTAATTTTACTCATTTTTTTCCTAGCAGCCAGTTATAAAGATTTCTTCAGGGCAGGAGATATTGACATGGAGATAAAGAACTACCCGGGTGCTCTGGGCTGCACGTGGCGGCGGTCACGTGAGCTCATCTGACCAGCCCTCCTCAGGAGAGGCCAGCCAGGTGGCTTATTCCGTAGGGACTCCAGGATTCTGATCACCCAAACGCATTTCCCAGGCCGGGACCTCTGGGAAATCCCTGCTCCAGCCCTGCAGAGGTTTATGGGAAAGTCCCAGGACTCCCATCTGCTTCCTCGTATTAATTCCAGGGCTAGGATTTTGTTTTCCAAGGAATTCAGCTATGGTGCCAACAAAAAGCTATAGGAATTGAGTAGTACCGTATTTAAATCGCGTATTTAAAATGTTTGTTTCTTTGTATATGGAGACCCAGTAAGATCCTATTAAGCCCTTCATCACCCCTTAATCAATGAAGTAAAGACATACGCAGGTTGTGCAGGTTTTAAGAGCTGTGTGAGCTTTGAAAAATTTTTAGAATATTACTCAGTGCCTGGGTGCCTTCAGCTGTGCAGACAGTTGGACAAGATGATTTCTTGGACCTCTCTCGGGTCTCCCTCCATGTCTCGTATTCCCAATTCCAACAGGCATCCCACAATCATTTCAGCTACCCAGGTCCGAAGCTTCAGATTCACTTACTGTGCGGCGTGGGGGCGGGAGGGGGTGGTCACAAAAGAGACTCGAAGAGACGCAAGCATGCACATTTAATAGGCAGTAGGGGAGGCTGGGGGTGGGGGGGAGCCAGGGCTGGGTGTAGACTGCTTAGGAAACACCAGACCCACAATTTCCAGATGCTAAGTGGGCCTGAGAACGCCCTGAAATCCACTTCCCAAGTTAGGGCTGATGTTATTTCAAAGAAAAAAAATATATGCTAACTTGCAGATCTCTAAAGCTCCACGAGCTACTTCTGGAACAGCCAATTCTATAAGCGCGCCAAGGGACTGCAGGTACTTGGGCTGCACTTGAGGAAGTCTCCGGAGTTGGCGGAAACAACCCATCCACTCCGGCTCCCAGAGGCGCTGGGCTGCAGCGGCTTAGCTCAGACACACACAAGGATTTGAGGCTTTCTAGAAAACGGCGTGGCCGAGGCCCCGGGCTGGGGCTCGATGCGCGCGGACCGAGACCGACCAGCTCTCCGGCCCGGGGCAGAAGGGAGGCGAGGCTGCGGTTGGGGCGCACGGGCTGGGTGTACACTCGCCGGCCCCCCTCGACCCCGGCCCAGGGAGCGCGGGGCCCCGACTACGGAACGGCCCAGGTTGGCTGTCCCTAGAGTTTCAGAGTTGGAGGGTGGCGGGGTGAGTGCTGGCGCTGGGACAGAGCAAATCCCCAAGGAAGGGAAGGAGGGAAGGGAAGCGAAGTGGAAGGAAAGCGAAGGGAAGGAGAGGCGGCACAGCCGTCGGCACGGACCTAGCGCGCGCTGGCTCCCCAAGCCCCGTGTGGGCGCAGCCCCGCGGCGCCCCGGACACACCCACTGCGCCCCGCCGCCCGCGCCACCGCGTCCTGCGGTCCGGAGCGGGCCCGAGAGGAGGGCAGCGGCCCCGGCCGGGTCGGGGCGCAGGGGGCGCGCGGCGCGCGGCGCGGGCGGCTCTGCTCACCTGGCGGTCCGCGTCCCGGATCGGCCGGCGGCCGCCTCGCCTCGCCCCCGCGTGCTTCCCGGCGCCGGGCAGCCCCGAGCACGCCGCATGGACGGCCGCCGCCGCCGCCCCGCGCCCGCCCTGCACGGGCTCCCGCTGCGCCCCGTTCGGCGTCGGGCTGAGCGGGCGGCCAGAGGCTCGGGTGCGCGCGGAAAGCTGTGGCTCGGAGTTTGCGATCGGAGAACCGGGATCCGCGCTCCTTCGGTCCCTCCTCCCTCCCCCACTCGCGGCCTCCCGCTGTCATCTGGAGCCGCTCCTGTCGCCCCCTGGCGGCCGCCTCGGGAAGGACCGACCCCCAATCCACCCCCTGCGACCCCGGAGGGGCCCCTTGCAAACCGGAGCGGGACTAAGCCCTGGGTACCAGGACAACAGACATCGTCCGGTAAAGAGGAGGACAGTCTAGACAGAAGGGTGGCGAGAGTGGAAGGAAGCGTGGTCCGGATTGGCCAGGACCCGCTGCGGGAGAGGAAGAAGGGCTAAGACCAGGAGGTAAAGGAGGGCCAGATGGTGGAAGGCCTTGAATTACGGGTTCATCTTATCCAGAGGTTTGTGGGAGCCACTGAAGGACTGAGGTCCAAGAGGGACAGGTGCATCCTTGTGTTTGGAACAATCATTCTGGCTGCAACAGGATGGGGCTGAGGCTGAAGCAGGGAGCCAGCAAGAAAAATGTCGCTGTAAACCAGAGCAGGGAAGAGGACAGGACTCTAAGGATAGGGAAAGGAGGAGCCCTCCTCTAAAGGCCACAGAGGTCACCCTCACTCGCACACTCACATCCAAGGTAAGACTCACTGGGCTCCCGAAGGCAACAGAAAAGGACCAGAGCCCTCAAGTTATCATCAAGGGGCATGAGGTAGACATGAAACACACTCCAGGGTGATTCAGCATTGTTTCTTGCCTTATTCAGGTTACCAGTGTGGGAAGGAAAAAGCCTGCTGCAAACCACCCCCACCCCCATCATCATCATCATCGAACTTTGGTCTGTATATCCAAGCCTTTCCAGTAATGTCCCAAGGAGGGCATGAGGAGAGCTAGTTAAAGGCAGAAAAAGTGCTGGAGCCCCGTGTCTTGGTTCCTAACGCAGTGCTCTATTCCTTACATTCAAACGGAGATGATGGCAGCTGATGAGGTAGGAAGTAGTGGAAATGAGCCTCCTCCCCAGGAGGGGGTGGGAAGGACCTTACACATTTGAAGAGGCTGGCCAGCTATAGGCAGTCTCCCTCAGAATGAGTCAGCCTGTCGGTCCTGCCTCTAAAGCCTGTCTGCAGGAGCTGTTTTGAAAGTGCAGGTGCACAGCAGGCGGATGGAGGTGGCTGCAGACGGCAAGCTCCCTGCCCATAGCCAGGCTGGACGGGGATGGGTGTGGTGTGTGGGAGCAGAAAGGAGAGCAACGGCCAAAAGAACTCTGAGTGCCTGCTACTGGCCAGCCGCCTGCGCAGAGCCAGTTCTGACTGATCCGTGCTGGTTCAAATGGAAGGAAATAATTCCACACTTGATCAAACAGAGTTTGATTGGAGGCACCTGGTGTGAGTGGGATTAAATTAATTCCCAGCGTCACAGGTCCCATGGGTCCAGATTAAGGGGATCTAACAGCTCTCGTAAATTCTGACCAGTTTAAATCATTTATACCACATTGTACTTAATGCCACTGAATTGTACACCTAAAAATGGTTGAAAGGGTCATTTTTATGTAATGCATATTTTACCACAATTTAAACAAAGCAAAACTAATAAAATGTGTTCAAATCGGATTGATTCATTAATTCATTTAAAAGACATATACTGAGTGCTACAGATGAAATGAAGAAATGTTCCAGTCCAAAAGAAGCTCAGAGTCAGGTGGGAGAGGTGCCGTATAGTCAGGAAATTATACTAACAGGTGGTATCATTGGGGGGTATACAGAAGTCTCTGAAGACTGCTGGGACGGGAGCAGAAATCTAGGATGTTCTGCTTGAGCTGAGTCGTCAAGGATGAGGGGAGTTCTTCAGGCAGTGCCTGGTATGAACAGGCCTTAAGAGCAAGGATATGGATTTTGCAAAAACAAGCTTTAGACTTACAGATAAATTACAAGACTAGTACAAGGAATTCCCTTGTGTCTTCCTCTTCCCTTAATGTGAACATCTTGCATAACCAAAGTGCAGTTATTATTGACCAGACTTGACCCAGCTGACCAAGGCTGCTTCTTCAGAGCAAATTCTGATCCACTTCAGACTGGGTCAAATTGTAGAGATCGTATTTTGCTTAACTGTCACAAAATGTTCTTTTTATTTATTTTTTATAGACATTTATTTTTTTAGTTAATTTATTTATTTGAGAGAGAAAGAAAGAGAGCACACCGAGTGGAGGGAGGGGCAGAGGGAGAGAATCCTCAAGCCGACTCCGCGCTGAGCATTGAGCCCAACATGGAGCTCCACCCCAGGACCCTGATCATGACCTGAGCCTAAATCAAGAGTCAAGTGCTTAACTGACCGAGCCACCCAGGCACCCCAAATGTTCTCTTTATTTAAAGTCAAGGCTGGGGCGCCTGGGTGGCTCAGTTGGTCATGCGGCTACCTTCAGCTCAGGTCATGATCCCAGGGTCCTGGGATCAAGCCCCACGTCGGGCTCTCTGCTCAGCAGGGAGCCTGTTTCTCCCTCTCCCTCTGCCTGCTGATCCCCCTGTTTGTGCTCTCTCTCTTTCTGTCTAATATATAAACAAAATCTTTTTTAAAAAAGTCAAGGCTATACCGTGAAATCCAATCTCATTTTAAACAAAGATATTTACATTATGCATAGGCACCAATGAATATTAATTATGCTAAAAACAGCAAGCTTTTCATCTTTCAGTCCCACTGTATTTCTACTTTTATCTGAGTGCATATGTATGTGTAAAATCAGAGAGGCAGGATTTGGTCCTTCCGTATGAGATAAGCTACTAACCCTTACCAATAAAGAGGGCAGAGAAGAGCAGGTGCCTCAGAGTAGTAGGGGTCATCTAGCCCCAGTGACTTCCTGGCATGTCAATGTCTTCCATATACAACATCTTGGAGCATGAGTTGTTAATTACGCTCTTGCATATCTGCAATGACAGGTGCTCACTACCTAATAAAACAGCTCATACTTTTGTTGGAGGCTCTCTGTTAGAAAGCTCCTTTTCATTTTGAACTGAAACCATTCCCCTGTAACTACTAGCCTGACCTCTTGAAATGACAGACAAAAAAACATAACTCTTCAGTCATGTGTCAGCTCTGCGACATGTGGGACAGCCCTAGGTTATACCTGTGGTCCTGGTGTAATAAGTAATAGTGCCCCTTCGCTCCATTGGTTGTTTCAGTTGTGATGAGAAAGGCTCTGGTCATCCTACAGAGGACTTCCACTGCCCCACCTGGCTAAGTGTGCCCCCTGCCTAGAGCCGCATCCTGGGCAGTCAGTCATTCCTCCAGCAAAGTGTTGGCGCGTGGGAAAGGCTCCCGAATGCGTGAGGAAGAACAGCCTACTGCTGAAAGCCACTTCCTGGGATTTCAGAGCATGTGGAACCAGAGTAAGAGCCAAGTGTGAACAGACTCCAGGAAGGAAACCTAGGACAAGCAGATCTTTGTGGGGGAGATTTACCAGTAACCCAGCTTCTGTACTTCACTAATAAGCACCGACCAGAATCCTTTTACCAGCAGAACATTTCTTGGGGCTAGAATCTAAAAATTACACTTTGAAAAACACTGCTTTACACTCTTTTGACAAACACCAGTGTTTTCATCCTAATGGCATTTCAGGGGGTTGTGTCCCAGCAGGGAAGGAAACCCCTGTATTATCCCTCCTTTGTTAACACTGGAAGGTTGAAGGGAAACAGACACATACTCAAACCCCTAATTTCAGGCTCCAGCGAGGTACCAGGATCCATCACAATGCTTATACAATTGTGCCTTTTACTTTCTTGGTTGTGCCTTTGCAGACTGTAAAGTCAAGGCAAGCTTGTGCCCAGCAAATAATAAGGAAATAAGGGAAACACAAAAACACAACACAACACAACCTGTCGTGAGCTGGTAAACTTGTCATCTGTGGTTTTAAGCTGTTTCTAAGTGCCTCGGATGAGTACAAAGGAGCCTTTCCTCCCCTTCTTGCCTCCTGAGTTCACTTCATTCACTTCTCCCTCCAGGGGATCTGGGATGTCAACCTAAAAACCAAGTCCCAAGCTCGCATGCCCCTGGCCTGGGGCTGCCCCCCTACTTGACCTGTAATCCACAGCCATGCAAGAGAGGAGCTGTGGCCACCAGCTTGGAGGACAGAAGCAAATGGCTTCTAGATGGCATATCAAGGTTTCCTAACCAGCGTCAGAGTTGACAGGCCACATTTCAGATTACCTAATTCTTATTCCCTCTCTCCCTTCGCTCTTATCCCTTCCTGCCCCGTGTCTGGTCAGAAGAGATAGGAAACTTCGTGTTACCTGGTACAAGACAACTTTTGGAATCCCAAATATTCAGATTATTTCTCTCTTCCCTCTTGGAGAGTGATAATACTCACAGCTCAAAGGCATCACCCAGACCGAAGCTGCTTCTCTCCAGGAGAGGCAACGCTGAGCAAGAACGAGAGCGGACACCACATCCCCCAGGGTCACGGGCTCCCTTTGTCCGTCTGGCACCAGTCACCTAGATGAAGACAATCGCCATTTACAGACTAAGTCCACGTGCTAGCACCTCCTCCCAGACACGACTGATTGATCATCCTTTTATTCATCCTCCCAACCTATACTGATTAAAGCTGACGACGAATGATTGCAGGGAGAATGAGAAAAGTTAGCCAAAGTAAAAAGAGGCCAGCGTTGGAGAGACTGTTCTAGACAGAAGGTAGCACGTTTGCAAAAGCCCCGGGAGAGGCGTGGCACACACAAGGAGCAGAAGGAAGGGAGTGTGGCCAGGACTCAGAACCCAAGAGAGAGGAGGGAAGTGGGGCAGGGATGGGCTGAGGTCTGACTGTGCCAAGCTTTGCAGGCACGGCTCATAATTCCTTGACCACCACAAAGGCACAGGGGTGTCCCATCAGAACAGATACAAGGAGTGGGGTCCTGGAGCCCCCTGCTGCCCTAGATGCTGGATTGGGGGGGCGTCTAGGGGTTCCAGAGTGGAAGAA